ACTATAAACCAAGGGTTCCACACCCAGTCCTCAAGTATCCCCTACCTGTCCAGGACTTGGGAATTACCCTGTTGTGTCTAAAGTGTTTTTCTTTTTCCTCCTCCTTCTTCTTCTTCTAAAAACACATTTGACATAACTGGGTAATCCCTAAATCCTGGACTGTTAGGGGATACTTGAGGGCTGGGTTGGGAACCACTTCTATAAACCCACATTCCAGACTTCTCATCGTACGGAATGGCAAATTACCATCTGTTATTTTTAACCCATTAGATATTCTTGCCTACTATGAATAGGAACATAGGACTATGTAATATTATACAATTAACTTGCTTACGAGTATTTCTGTTCCATTTCATTGCTTCACCGCTTATCTTTCTGTGCTTCTCAATTTATTGTTCTTCTCTCTCTCATCGCTCATTGTCTACTCAGGTCCCATTACAATATTTCCATCTTTTCTCACTAGAATGTCATTAACACCTTTACACAAACTGCCCAGTCTGAACGATGTGGATTCTTTGGTAACGTGACTATTGGGAATGATGTAACCGTGGAAGAGTTGCAGGCAGCCTATCATGCTGTTGTTCTGGTAAGCAGCCAGAGGGGAGGTGGGAATTAGTACTTTCTATACTTCTCCCCTACTAAACTATTCTATCCGTAGAGCTATGGGGCTGAAGACAAGCGTGAGCTAGGAATTCCGGGAGAAGACTTGCCTGGAGTTTACGCTGCCAGAGATTTTGTGGGTTGGTACAATGGACTTCCCTATAACAGACATGTGAGTTTCCCTCCTGCAAAGCTAAAAAGGTTATTGTCTCTTATGTTGCTGTTATATTAAAACTTGATTCATAAGCTTGTCTTGCAATTTTACATAGTACCAATTATTTTTAGTGCATATTCCTGGTTACTTTGTGGCTAATAAAATATTTATATTTGTGCATAGGCAGTCAGATTAGTTTACTTAAAGCGGCACTGTCATGCCGAATGTTTTTTTATTTTTTTTATTTATTTTTTTTAACCCCCCTCCCGCCTCCACTACATCCAATTGACCTACTAGTCACCCCCAAATGCCCCTAAGCCCCCCACATTACCTATTTTTTAATCCTTATTTTCTGCCCCGATCTTGATTCAGGGCGCAGCCATCTTTGTGTGGGTAGGTGAAGTCCCTGTGGGACACGTCATCAGCCCACACTAGACAGACTGTGAGATTCCCGCACATGCCCAGTGAAACACCTGGACATGCGAACGGGAATTTCATCTATTCACTCATTCATCAGACAGACGAATGAGTGAATAGAAATATCAGCCGAACAAACAAACACAATGTATCAGTGTTAGTTTGTTCGTGCAGCTTATTACAGGGAGGGAGCTACCGGCACGCAGCTCCCTCCTTGTAATATGTAAAGATAGAAGCGGCAGGTAGCAGTGCTCCCCACCACTTCATAAGCCCCCCCAGTACCCCCTCTCACTCTATGGGGGTCAATATGACCCCCATAATAGCACAAGGGAGATTAAAATCTCCCAAATGCCCCTACTCGCTATAGGGGCCTGTGGCTGCTCACTGTTGAAAAAAATGACATAAATTACAATAAGGGGGGCGGACCTATTGTCCTCCCCCCCTCCCCCACCCTGAGCGGCGGGTGGGGGCCATGAAGATAATGAGGGGGGGGAACCTACTGTCCTCCCCCCGGCCCCCACCCCTGAGCGGTGGGTGGGGGCCCTTATAAAACAATAAGGGGGGGGACCTACTGTCCTCCCCCCCGGCCCCCACCCCTGAGTGGTGGGTGGGGGCCCTAATAAAACAATAAGGGGGGGGACCTACTGTCCTCCCCCCCGGCCCCCACCCCTGAGTGGTGGGTGGGGGCCCTAAATGAAACCCCCCCCCAATCAAGGTGACTAGGGGTGCCAAGCCCCTAGTCACTACCCCCCCACCCAAAAAAACCTATCCCCTACCTACCCCCCTCACCCTACAAATAGTGAGGGGGGGAATAAAATAACTAACCTGTAAAAAAAAAAATTAAACTTACCATTTGACGTCTTCTTTTTTCTAAAATCTTCTTTCTTCAGCCCCCAAAAAGGCCAAATAAAAATCCATTATACCCGTCGCACTTTAAAAAAAAAAAACAAGCGCCAAAAAAAATTAATCCATGTTCGCCCTTCGAGGGCACGCCGCGTACTGAGCTCCGCAGGGCGGGTCAAGGCTTATAAAGCCTTGCCCCGCCCTGCAATTAGGCTTAGAACACTCTGATTGGTGGGTTTAAGCCAATCAGAGTGCTCTGAGTCATTTTACACAGCGTGGGAAAATTCAAAAGAACTTTCCCATGCTGTGTAAAATGACACAGAGCACTCTGATTGGGTGGCTTGAATTTTTTTTTTTTTTTTACAGGTTAGTTATTTTATTCCCCCTCACTATTTTTAGGGTGAGGGGGGTAGGTAGGGGATAGGTTTTTTTTGGGTGGGAGGCGGGTGACTATGGGCTTGGGACCCCTAGTCACCTTGATTGGGGGGGTGTTTCATTTAGGGCCCCCACCCACTGCTCAGGGGTGCGGGGCGGGGGGGAGGACAGTAGGTCCCCCCCCCCCCTTATTGTTTTATTAGGGCCTCC